CTCTCGCGCCGCCCGCTTGACCTGGGGGGGGGGGAACGAGGAGGAGGACAACAGAGGGGGTAGCGGGCGGGGTGTCTCAGCAGATGTGTGCCCTTGCGGATGTTGATGAGGGGTGAGAAGCGTCTGTCATTTCCGCAGCATGCACCTTGCTGAACTCGCAGCCCACTAAGCTTTTCAGAACTGACTATGATTTGCCATGATTTAGTGAGTCATGCTGTTCTTATTGAAGACTGTATCATGTTTTTGCTGTGTGCAAACCGCCCTGCCCCCAAGCTGCAAGGGACCACTTCCTCCTCAAGCAAGGCCCCTCCAAGACCCCGGCAGAGGAGGCACTAGCTGATAGCTGCACACAAGCGTGCCTTCCCTCACACAACCCCCACCTGGCGCCGCCATTCCCCCACCCTCTCCTCATCAGTGCCGTGGCCTGAGCCGCTCTCATTACCCTCCTCGTCGCTGCTATTATCTGAGTCATCTGAAAGGCGCGGCAGGGGGCCTGCAAGAGGTGATGGGTGGGGGGGGGACGTGACAGGGATCAGAGGCATAATGGCAAGGCGCAGCTGCGGACCAAGCCAAAAGTCATGAATTATGAAACTCATGCGCCCGCGATTGTTCAGATGTGCCTAGAAGGGCGCGTGCGAGGGTGGCGCATCTTGCGTTGACAGACAGGGGGCGACGTCTGCAGCCGTGCACCACCCTCTTGCTGACATAGTACGTAACTATAGCAGCCCGAATGACACGGCTTGAACAAGATCTTGGCATCCTGAGCAGGCCACAACAGCAGCCAGCCCGCGGCCGAACGCACCTGCTGCATCTCTGTTCAGCGCCGCCCTCTGGCCCGCGTGCCGTGCCATCTCCTCGCGGCGCCTGGGGTCGACGCGCGTCACCATCACCCGCCGCTGCGGCGTCGGCCGGCAAGGCGCAACACGGACAGTGTGAGCAGCGATCTTATTTGCGGCTGGGTGCTGCTGCTGTTGGCGCCGCACCCTAAGGAGAAAACACAGTCCTGCTAGACCCCTTCATCTGCACAGGGCCCATGCTTTGCGTGCCAGCCCCACAGCCACTTGCAGATCCCACCCTCCCGCCCAGATTACAGGCCTGCACGCACGCTGCAGTGTCAACTGCATCAACTAACATTGTCACACCCCAGTACCCTGCCGTCACCCACCCCTGGGATCCACTGGTGTGTGCATGACTCATCTAGCCAGAAGACCTCAGAGTGAGGGTGCTTGTCAGCCTGGGGGTTGGGTTGATTGGGAAGCGGGATGGTATAAGGGGTCATGTTGTCTGGGAACTAATAGTGAATTTAGCAACTGTCAACAAGGGTCAGGGAGAAGTTGTGGGTCCGGGTCATTGCAGGGGCGCTCGGGCAACAGCTCCGGCCCGACAAGGCTGAAAATTTTGCACATTTCCCTGAAGACCATTGATACGGGTCGGCCCCTGCTCACGATGTGCCAGCAGTCGCGGTACACGTCCCACTTGCGGCCGCGGGTGACGCCGCCCTCCTCGCGCGGGGGGTACACGGGCTGGCCCGCCTGGGGGTGCAGTGGGACGTGGTGAGGGGGCAGGATTGAAGGGTGGCAACACTGTATATTCTGGCATGAACCTCCAGGGCTTTCAATATGACACACAGCAAGATGTGGCTGCACCTCTAGGCCACTGGCCACAAGCAAAGCGCTCCCCCCCGTTCCCGTGTACCTGGTCCCACCCCCCTGGTATGACTGGTGCCCAACCACCTGGGGGTATCTGTGGAAGGCGGGGCGGTCTGGGTGCAGGCGCAGGCAGCGCCGCTCGTACTGCTCAAACAGGGACACCACCTGGTGAGAGGCCGCGGGACACGGTGAGGGCTTTCGTCACTGCCACTCCTTTGAGGGGTCACCGGGGCCAGGTCACGCACCACAAAAGCAGGAAATTCAGGCACCCGCCTGGCTGCACCCCCCCCCCCCAAAATTCGAGGCAGCACATTGCGTTCTTCTCTCTCGTCTGCGCATTTTCAGAGTCCCCCAAGCATCAAGTGCGCTGCGCCGCCCCCACCTGGCGCCGTGCATCCTCCCTGTCTGGCGCATACACCACGAGGCTGCTCCACTGGCGGCCGGCGGATGTGAAGGGGAACGCCGCTGCCCATTCGGCGGCGAAGTCCGGGGCTGAGTATTGCGCCCCAGACCTGGAGTAAGGGGACAGGAGCAGTGGGGCAAAAGGGGGGTGATTGCATTATGTCACAAATATGGGGCTACGAATGGAAGATAAGCCAAATGTGGGCTCAAGCAGTGCAACCTGGAGTAGGGTCTGAGCTGACAGCGCTGCCTGAGCTCCCCACATCCATCTGTAACCTGTCCCCCCACAAACAAAGCATGTGGCCCTTCTCGGCCCTCACCCCTCGTCATCGTCTCCACTGCTCCAACAGGAGGCCAGCTCATCAGAAGAGCTGCTCATCAGCCCAGGGTCGACAGGCGGCCGGCCGCCACCTTCTGCAGCCGCGCCCAGCACCCCCACAGCTGCGTCCCCCTCCCCAGCTGCCGCTCCCTCCGGCACACCCACAGCTCCGACCACCGCATCGCCCGCGCTGTCTGCGCCCGCTGCAGCCACTGCGCCTGCCGCCAAGTCCTGATCGACACCAGTCTGGCCAGCCAGCGCCGGCTGCTCCTGCGCGGTATCCCTCTCTAGCGCGCTGTCTGCCTGCCCGCTCCCCGCCTCGCCTCCGTCCAAAGCCGCGAGAGCAGCTGTCGCACCATCGCCACTGGCACCCGCCAGGCCGCCGTCACTGCCGTCGCCGCAGCTGGCGGGGACGTCCGTTGGGGCGGGCCCTTGCGGTGGCGGCGGAAACTTCGGGGCCTGCGCGCCCGCTGCCCCTGCATCTGCCGCCGCGCCCGCCCCACGATCCTGGCCGCCGCCGGCCGCCTGCAGTGGCTCTGGGTCTGGGCCCAGGGCCGGGTACACATACCTATGCGTGTTGGGGGTGGGTAGGCAGAAGTTGAACTTGCAGCCTTTGCAACCGCCTCATATGCAGGGTACAGATGGCTGTTCACAATGCTGGGCGGCCCTGTCGTACGGCATGTTCGACCTTGCAGAATTGTTTTCAGGGGCTGTGTAATGCGATAATGGGGCCCCAGCAAAAAGGCACCTATTCAAAGGCAGAGAGCCTTGCCACAATGATGACAAACCACGGCTCCAGACCCTCAACGCACCAATGGCCGCTTTTGGTGTGCTCCTCCCAGGCGGCCCTGCGGGCCCGGCACCACTCAAGAGCACTGCTGTAGCGCTTGATGAGCGGGGCCTGTTTTGATTGGCAGGCGGGCACCATGGGTGGGGTGACGTGTCTGCTTGTCTGCAAACAACCTCGCTGGTACCAAGATTTTTAGCGCAGCCAAATCAGGAGTGAGGCGTGGCTGTCAGGCGTCGCGCAGATGCCTGTGATCACGGGCCAGCAGCTCGGTATTCAGCGAACAGACACTGACGCACCACACCAAACCCCATTGCCCATGCGGCCTGCCTGGCGCCCCCCCAAAGCTGCCCCTCTCACACTGTCAGGGTTGTCCTGGTCCAGGTCAGCCAGGAGTCCCTCCAGGTTTCGCTCTGGGAGGGTGGTCACCTGTTTTGGGTCACAAATGGGATGGGGGTGAAAGGTGGAGGTGCTCTATGGAGGTTTCAGGGGGATGCAAATGGAGGTAGGGCCGGGAGTGTCAGCAGAGGCTTGTATTGATGCACGAGCGTGTGCATGGAGGAGGGGAGGAAGGGCAGTAGGGACGGGGGTTGCTTGCGGTCAAGCTGGTTGGCAGATTGTACTGCCAGCAGGGCTGGCGGCGTGGCGGAACCTCTCAAAACAAGTAAGGTGGGTAAAATCGACGGCAGGGAGGACAGGGGCCTTTGGATGGAGACGATGGCGGTCCCAATTGAAGTTGGGGCAATGTATATCGATTGGGAAGAAGACTGATGTCTCTTGTTGTGACAAGAGCCATCAATGGGTTGCTGCTGCTGCATTGTTGAAGGTTGCGTAACATCAAAACGGTGGACGCCGCACTTGTGTCACTGATTGCCTGCAAACGCCGCACATCCTGAGCAGGAGCCCTCATAACTTGTTCAGCCGTGTTCGAACCATCACCTCGGGCGGCACCTCCACTGTCGTGGCAATCTTTGACAGCCGCTCGTACTCAGCAGGATCCAGCACCTTCTGGGGGTTGAAGCTCACTGGGGTGCCGGACAGGGGGGGAGTCGGGGTGTGTGGCGCATGCAAAGTGCTGCCGTAAGACATGAAGGGCAATCTCGAGAGGGCGGGGGAGGTTTGCTCGCTCAATAACGGAAGCTTGATAAACAAATCGGGCCACAGCACTGCCCCAAAACCGCATGTCACGACAACAGGAACGCCACAGGTTGTTGCTGGCACGCATCCAAATATGGGGATGCCGGCATCGCGCTGACGCAACGCCAGTATAAGGCTGCACCATGCTGCATCACCCCACTTCCCAGGTCACGCAGGCGTGAGGCGCGAGGGAAACGCCACGTCTGCGCATTTGCAATCCTGCTGGCTTGAACGCACCAAGCTTGCCCCACGTCAAGCCACTGCCATTGAGACCAGCTGCCGCCGCCACACCAACGCCGCCGCCACCGCCGCTGGTTGCTTCTGTCCCCGCTGTCACCTCGGCGGCCGCGCCCGAGCCCTGCGCGGGCAGCACGGCAGGACCGCCTGATGCGGGCACTGCTGGTGCGGGCGCCGCCGGGGACGATGCCACGTACCCTGGGTCCCCTGGCAGCGGGAAATTAAGCTTGGCTTTTCTGCAAGGGGGGGCAGGGGAGTACTACTGCAAGTTTAAAATTGCACCACCTTCACAGCAGCTTGCAACAGGGTTTGAGTTCGTCAAGCATCCCCCTCTCGAGCATGCATGCAGTAGGCTCGAGAGGGGAAAATGAGCTATACAGCCAACCCAGGCGTCATACATAGTCATCTAAGACAAACTTGAGCTCACGAGCCATGGTACTGGCGAGCTTTGGCGTCGTAGCAGAGGGCCGCCGCCTCCTCAGTGTCGTGGAAGGTCCGCTCTCTCTTGCCATCAGCAGAAGGGTTGCAGATTTGTACAAACCACTTCTTAGATGTTTTGTGCCAGCTGACGCCGCGGTACGCGCTGCTGCGGCCGCGCGAGAAAACCTCCGCTGAGGCCCTGAACTCCGCAAGCAGCTGCTCCAGGGAAATCGCGTCCAGGCGCGCCACCTCGGATGGCGTCGGCGGCACCTGGCACTGCGCCGAGGCCTCGGCGCCCTTGAGCTTGTGGACCATCCTGTGGCGGGCGGGATTCACAGTGGTTGGTCCTAGGTCGGGTGTCATTCCGCTGTGCACATGCTCTGATGCCAGGGAAGCTGCGGCACCCACCAGGCGTACTGCCGCGCCGCCTCCTCCTGTGAGGTGGTGTAACTGCCATAGCAAGATTTCTTGCTGGCAGGATCAGTGATTTGCGTGCGCCATCGCTGATTGTCCTTGTGCCAGAAAATGCCGCTGTAGCGCCTGCACACAATTCAGTGAGAGATAGCAGAGGTGAGGCGAAACGGCCTATTGGCAGCAGCAGCGCCGCCTGTGCGAATGCGATGTGATCCTTGCCTTGGGCTAGGTGGGCCTCCCCCCTTGTTGGCAAGATCGCCTGCGCTACTGCTGGCCATTGCACGGCTGGCTTTTTATTATTCTTGGTCACGCGGGCGGGCGCTGTAAACCCTCTGAGCACACGCAAGATCCCAGATCGCGCGGGAGAGCACTTGCTTTACAAGGCAATTGGCAACTAAGAAATGAACGCACGATGTGAATGCGGCAATCAAATCCGTAAAATGTACGCATTACGCCTTCGGGCAAAACGTTTGCAGCTTCGTAGTTTTCTAGGCTCACTCAGTGCGCGCCGCACGACCACCCGAAGCAGCCCACCACCATCAAACTACTATTTGCAGCATTGCAACACAACGGCTGTCCATATCATCTCAGCAAATTGAGCCAATGCACCAGAGTCTGGATAATCCGCGCACCTGAATCCCTCCATGCCGCATCCTGCAAAAATCCAAGTGCTCTGCCCATCCTCCCCCCGGCCCTTGTGTGGTACCAGCGCTGTTTCTAATGCAGACGCGGCCGGCCTCTCCTGAATGCAATATGCGTACCACTCTAGACCAGAGAACACAGCCGACACTATATGTCGCACCCCACCCGTGCCTCAAGACTCACGCCCGCACTTGCCATGCGCTCCTGGCTTTCTGCCCTGGAGCAAGCTGGCCGCGTCCACCCTCACAAGGTATCAATCCGTATTGCCAGCCTACTCAGCGGCACTGGTCATGTCAAGGTGTACCCGTGCAGCAAGCGCACAAACTGTCGCCGCGCAACCCAACTCGCTCGGCGAACCAGGCACATACAGTACGTTACATCACGCTTGTCCAGCAGCGAGGGGAAAAACCCTGGCTCCCCAAAGGGGTAACGCCCCTAACCGTATAGGCCAGAGGAGTAAGCGGGTGCGGCCAAGTCGGGAATTGGTAAGAGGGTGCACGCCTCCTTGGCAGTAAGAGGGCGCACCCCTCCTTGAACCAGGCACCCATTCCGCAATGCCTCCGTCCGTGCGCAGATGATTGTCACAGCATGATCCCTCCGTGCCTAAGTTTCGGCCTTCACTGCGTCAATACCACGCAAGTTTGCATACACATTGTGAAGGGTCGTCCTCACCAGCCGAGGGTCCTGCTCCACCACCACTCCCTCAAACCCTGCCTCCGCCAGCAGCGCCCGCACCTCCCCCAGGCCCCCGCCCGCCGCTGCCACCGGGCCCCTGCCGCCGCCAGCCTCCCCACTCGCTGCCGCCCCACCGCCTGCAGAGCCGCCTGCAGAGCCGCCTGCAGAGCCGCCTGCAGAGCCGCCTGCAGAGCCGCCTGCAGAGCCGCCTGC